CGGGGGGATCCGGGGTGGGAATCCGGGGGACCGGAGAGTGCGGTGATACCCAGAGATCCCAGGGATACCCAGAGATCCCAGGGGATCTGGAGACATCCCGGGTGATTCTGAGGGATCCCAGGGGATCCCAGAGGATACTGAGCGTGCCCTGGGCAGATCCTGGGGTTGGATTCCAGATGGATCCCCCTGTTTGAAGCTGTTCTCGTTAACGTCTCCAGATACTGAAATTCCCGGGATTCCCAGGATTTCCCTGATTGCAGCTCCAGGGCCCTTTTGGGTAATTGATCCCTGATCCACATTCCCGAGGTGGATCCCAGATCCCTCCCCCAGCTCTCACTGGCCCCTGGGCCAAAATTCAGGGACTGAGGCTCCCATCCAGATATGGGCACGGATCGAGATGGGATTCATGGATCCAGGTGGGATTTGTGGATCCAGGTGGAATTTATGGATCCAGATGGGATTTATGGATCCAGGTGGGGTTTATGGATCCAGGTGGGGTTTGTGGATCCAGGTGGGGTTTATGGATCCAGGTGGGGTTTGTGGATCCAGGTGGGGTTTATGGATCCAGGTGGAATTTATGGGTCCAGGTGGGGTTTGTGGATCCAGATGTGGTCATGGCTGCAGGCACGGTTGATGCAGATGTGGACACAGCTGCAGTTTTGGGTGTGGATCCAGATGTGGGCATGGATCCAGCTGTGGGCGTGGATCCAGGTGTTGCTGTGGATCCAGATGTGGGCAGGGATGCAGTTGTTGCCATGGATTCAGTTGTTGGCAGATCCAGATGTGGTTTGTGGGTGCAGATGTGGCTGCAGATCCAGCTGTGGGCATGGATCCAGCTGTGGGCGTGGATCCAGGTGTTGCCATGGATGCAGATGTGGCAGACACAGGTGCAGGTGTGGACCCGGATGCAGGTGTGGATCCAGCTGTGGGCGTGGATCCAGGTGTGGGCATGGATGCAGCTGTGGGCGTGGATCCAGGTGTGGGCGTGGATCCAGCTGTGGGTGTGGATCCAGCTGTGGGCGTGGATCCAGCTGTTGCCATGGATGCAGTTGTTGGCAGATCCAGCTGTGTCAGCAGCTGCAGGCCGGTGGTGCCGGATGTGGGGACGTGGGAACACGGGGACACGAGGGTGTGGAATGCTGGGAAATGGGGACACGGGAATGCTGGGACACGAGGAAATGGAAACGCGGGGACAGGAGGACACTGGGACACACGGACACAGGACACACGGACAGGACACACGGACACAGGGACACACGGACATATGGACACGCGGACACATGGACAGAGGGACACACGGACGGGGACACATGGACACAAGGAGACAGGGACAGGACACGGGGACACGGGGACACACGGACACATGGACACACAGACACAAGGACAGAGGGACAGTGACAGGACACAGGGACAGGGACACACGGACACACGGACACAGGGATACAGGGACAGTGACAGGACACACAGACACACGGACAGGGACACAGGGACAGGGACACACGGACACAGGGACACAGGGACACACGGACACAGGACACACGGACAGGACACACGGACATATGGACACGCGGACATATGGACAGAGGGACACACGGACGGGGACACATGGACACAGGGAGACAGGGACAGGACACAGGGACAGGGACACATGGACACACGGACACAGGGATACAGGGACACAGGGACAGTGACAGGACACACAGACACACGGACAGGGACACAGTGACACCGCAGCCGTCCCTCCCCGCGCTGCCGGGAATTGCTGACCCGCATCCCGAGGGTTTGGCTCTGCTGCCTCGGCACATTCTGGAGCTGCACCTGCCCGGGAATGGCGATGGAGCCGGAGCATTCCCGGGAATGCTGTTGGCAGGAGGACACGTGGGAGCTGGAACATTCCCGGGAATGTCGTGGGGAGGCCGTGGGAAGGGATGGGCTGCTGCCCAGGAACGTGGCGGAGGGGAGGCCACGTGGGACTCGGGATGCAGGGGTGGGATTCAGGATGCAGGGATTTGGGATTCAGGGATTGGGGATGCAGGGATTCGGGATTTGGGATGCAGGACAGGGATTGGGGATGCAGGACAGGAATTCAGGATGCAGGGATTCAGGATTGGGGATGCAGAACAGGGATGGGGGATGCAGGGATTCAGGATTTGGGATGCAGGACAGGAATTCAGGATGCAGGGATTCAGGATTGGGGATGCAGGACAGGGATGGGGGATGTAGGGATTCAGGATTTGGGATGCAGGACAGGAATTCAGGATGCAGGGATTCAGGATTGGGGATGCAGGACAGGAATTCAGGGTGCAGGGATTCAGGATTTGGGATGCAGGGATTCGGGATTTGGGATGCAGGAACGCCGTGGGTGAGGCCGGGATGCTGCCCAGGCCCGTTCCTGGCCGCGGGTCGGGGTCCCCGCGGTTCCC